CTATCTATCTATCTATCTATCTATCTATTTATTAACCCATCTATCTATCTATCTATCTATCTATCTATCTATCTATCTATCTATCTATCTATCTATCTATCTATCTATCCATCCATCATCTATCTATTAAATTATATATACAGTGTCTGACCACAGGTGGCAGCACTGAGCAGGAAGCCTCTGATCACCATGTCACGTGTTGCAGGTTAAATACGTTTAACGTTGTAATGTGATTGAAATCAACAATAACCACAGATCGTTGTCTTCAACAGACGCTGGGAGTTTCATCATCCGCCCGCTGAGGTTTTAATCTGCACTGTTATTCCATCAAGAACCTTATTTAACCGGAAATACCTGACAGGTGCCAAGGCACCGCAATCTGAGACAACATGGCCGCTGCCCCTGAACTTTGTCGTGTGTGTCGCTAGCTAAGCTAATAGTTACTAAGAAACTGCTTGTTCGGTTCCTGAACGATCTCCACGCGTTTTTCTCTCGTGTTGTCTCTTGAATGTGACGTTTTGTGCGTTTCGGGCTCTTTATAAACAGTCTATGGTTTCAGGACGTCGATCGTGTTCGTGGGAAACCTACGAAGGGCCTTGAACGCACCACGGATGCTAATTGGAAATAGCTGGTGAGTCAGAGACACACACAAAGAACACACACACACACACACTGATGTAAAGTGTGTGTGCATCATGTGAATATCGAGATCATGAGAAGATCACATCGTTTTGTGTTCATTGTTTTTTTGTTTTCAGTTCAGAGTGAATGAGTTGGACTCCTCTCCACAACCAGCTCCTCCAGCGGTGAGTCAGCGCTACTACAAAACCAAGAACAAGTTGAGGTGAAAGCGCTTACACTGGCTTAACTTTGGATATTTAAAGTTTCTAAAATTAAAGAATCCATTGTTAAGAATTCTGAATATATGAAAATATACTGAATTATAAAGCTAATGAAAGCTAAGTCACTAATTATCCTCAAATAATCGCAGCCCTCCAGAACATTCTTCCTTAAGAATCCACGACCTGCTGATTTTTATAGCTCTGCTGCCATATTAAGAAATATAATTAATTAAAAAAGCAACGTGTGGTTGTAATAGGAACCCCCTTGAATTTAAATCAAATACACCAAATAAACCTCCATATGATAAAGTGCTGTGACCATAATTTCCATTGAGTGGATGGTAATTTGCTCTTTTATATTAACATTGGTAGAATTTCTTAAGAATTCCTTTACAACATGGAAAACACATTACCTACCTCCACATTATATAGTTGATGATTGGCTTGTCCACGACCTGCTGCGGATCTGCTGCCAATAAATCTATTCAGCTCCGATTGCTGTTTGAAATTCCTCATGTCAGCTCGTCACCACTTGTTATCTGCCTCAGGAACTCAGTCGCTAGTTTAACAGGTAAACAAACCGTGCACATCTTCTACCAGTCCTGGTACAACAGTTCTGCAATAAATCATAGTTCAGTTTTCTTTGTTGATGTAGCGAGTAGTTGGCGTTGTTTACCTGTGTTGCATTACGCAGAGAGGTGTCTCTGGTATTAAGCCGATACTCTCGTTGATATAAGTGGGGAGATCAAAACAATAAAAACACGCTCTCTGTTGTCTGTTGCTTCTAAGATTTGTCCAATGCAGATGCAAGTGTAGTTTACGTTGAGATGGTGGTTTGACATTTACAGTGGCCTGTTGCTTGCACACAGAAGTTGGGAGGACAGGATAACGTCTTTACATCTCAAATTTCCCAATTTATTGATGACTAAATGACACAGTGTGGAAATTGTGGACTTTTTGTATAGTATTGGAAGGTCTTGCCATTTCATTGCAATATACCATGAGATGACCCTACACAAATAAATGATTTCACTAGATCCTCTGCTGTGAACGGAAGGTAAGCCCTGCCCCAGATACAAAAGGTTTTAGACAATTTATTGATTAATTGGGTGCTTATTTGAATTTTATTTAAAGTTGATATTTAACTTACAAGTCCAAGGGTGAGATTGAAGATGCAGGATCACATTTCATTCTGGTAAAACCACAATAAGAGATTGATTGGCACTTACTGCAGCCAACAGCGTGGAGCGTGTGCCGAGCCCCCACGGCTCAGTTGACGGTAACTAGCAGCTCAACTTGGAAAGTTCTCGACAAAAGGCTGCTCTGTTGTCAAGGTCCTCTCTCGCCCACCTTTGCCCACGTCTGCAGATTTCACCAATGAACCGGCCAGGGCAGGTCCCTGTGGGCTGGTTGGAAATTGCAGAATTCGTTGCCATGGGGAGCGAGATAAAAAATTAAAATTCGCTAAAATTTTCGAGTGAGCGTTATCACGGTCACAAAATGAGTAAAGGCCCCAGAGTGCAGGATGAGTCATGGAATAGTTGAAACCGCTTTACAAGGAAAGAAAAGGATTCTAATGTGAAATACAATATTTTTTGACTGATTAGCACATAATGAGCAAAATGAACCATTAACATAGAGACAGTATTTTTCAGTATTTTTCATATGTGCAGTATTTCTGTTAACGGCGTGTATTCTTCCTTCCCCACGCAATTTCTTCCTCAGCAGTTTTTTTTAGATTTTCCTATCTTGTCTGTATTTCTTGTTCAGCAAACCACCCTGTGCCCAGTTGTGTAGATATGCGTGCAAATACAGACACACACACACACACACACACACACACACACACACACACACACACACACACACATTCACCGAGCATGCACACGCAGCCCACAGGGCTTCTGTTCTTGTTGTCATCCTGACAAGCAGCAGGAACAGGATTATGGGTAGAGGCCCTCTTACTTGGAGCAGAAGAGAGTGTGAAATCTGATTGCCGCGGAAGATTTAAAAAAACGGGACCCTGTGAGGTCGGTGGAATCCTAAATATGAGCACGCTGGAGCAGGATAGCAGCAGGGTGTAGTCTGTTCCGGGGATTTACCAAATTTTCCGACTTGAGAGGGTGGCTTAAGAGAGGACAGGGAGAAGAAGCTGCACGGTGCATAGGTGGCAATTGCTGCTGCTGAAAGTTCTTTTGTTAACTCAACACAGTTAACTCAGTAGAGAATCATTTGAGGAGCAACATGTTTTGATGGTGTGGTATGTTTTAGAAACATTGAATGTACGATGCTGCTGGAAATGCAAATATTTGTTGGTCTAACATTAAAAAAGGATTTGAGATGGAGCACCTGACACATGGGGAAGTCTCCCCTGGCTTTATCAGAACTCGTCACTAGGGGGCATTAAAGCATCGTTTTTTGGTTTTGCTCCACTCCGGCCTGAGGGCTGTTTCCACAACTTCCACTTATGAGCCTCTTCCACTCGCCTGCATTAAACAAAGTCACTGTGATGACGGCTCGTTGCAGAGAAACGGGCGCGCACGAGACCGAGAGGGAAGAGCCAGCAGGACACATGTTGAGATTAGTCTCTCGAAAGGTTATAGTGACAGAGGCTTTGACGCTACATGGATCTGTAGCGTGATGTGAATTACATTCCACTCGCTGTATCTTTTCCCTTCCGTCTTATTCTGTTCTGCATGTCCCGTACGTCAAATTCACCCAAAGATGGATTCCTTTGACGACATTCTGCCGCTCTGTTTGTTTCCGTTGCCGTTTATTCCCCCGCACCTGCAACAAACCACTATCGGCTTCCTTCACCTGCAGCAAATCAATATCATGCAAGACGGAAGCTTAGACTCCATAATGCTCTGAAAGCTATTACAAGGATTAGAATGATGGAAGAATGTACAGCACAAGAGCGAGACAACGCTGGAGTTTTTGAGCGCGGCTCCCCGTTAACTTTCCCTCCCTGTGACTTTTGAGTGTTTTTTAATTGCAATTTGAAAAAATTTTAATCCTTTCTTCAGCTGAGAAACCATTTTTTTTGTGCCCTCCCTAATCTTCCTGATTTTCATAGAGGCCACGCTGATTGCATGTTAGGGGTTTGACCCCAGCCGATCGTTTTCTTTTAAAACTAATTGAGAAACTGTTCATATCCTTTTTTTAGCCGGGTCGCTAAACCAAGTATTCATACAAAAACTGACGTCGGCTGTCACTGGAATGAAAAAGTGACTTTTACTTTCATCGTCTCAGTGAGATTTCTATAAATATCCTATCTGTCCATCATTATCCTTGTTTCTTTGCTACGTCCACCTTTTCCCCTTTTTTTTTTTTTTAAAAGAAATTTTTTTTTGCTGTTCAGTGGAGGTTGTGTACCTAAAATGTTGCGTTGTGTTTTCAAAGAATTTAACACTTCTATTTCTCACAAAGCGAAATGAAAAACAAGATGTGTGACCTGGCTTGTTTGCAGCAGGTAATTGATGGCAATAAAAGGTTTGACATTTAAGGTTAGTCGTGGGCCTTGTTTACCTTTTTGAAGGACATTGAGGCGGAAAATAAGAAACGTTAAATTGATGCAATTCCTGCTTTTGTGGCTGGAACCGTTCCTGTTAACCTGATGAAAAGAATTCAATTTTAACAGCAGGTCTAACAATTCCGAATACCCCTCGTATCTTTATGAGGATTTACCTCCAGTAATCTTCTGCATGTGTAAAGTTCTAAATAACAGCCTCTGCGTTGTTGGTCAGACCGGCCCGTCCATGGGGGAATTACTCATACACACACCAGTGGTTTGCAATCCTCACTTGTTACTGCCCGAGATGATGTTTTAAACATGGGTTCAAGTAGAAGCTTGCTGGATAGAGGACTCAGTGGCTCGTGCCTGGGAGTAGAAATTGGGTGAAATGCATTGTATCCCCCCCCCCCCCCCCCCCCCCCACGCCCTGCGCCTGAACACCTCAGAGCCTAGGCTGTTGCCGTCTCCCTGGAAACCATTACCGCGCCGTCGCTCGCGTGCGGTCTGTCACGGATTCAGGTGGAAAACGCCGGCATCTCAGTGTGCCAGCGAAAAAAGGGAAAGCAAAGTAGAAATGGAGGGGGCGGGGTGGGGGGGGGCGTTTGCAAATGGCTCTGAAGTCTGCAGGCTTAAAAGTGTTGATAACCATGGATTAGCTCTGCCTGTTCCCTCAAGCAGCTTTTTACTGTGTGGTCTCTTTCTCTTCAACCTTCCTCCTCTTTTGTCGTTTCTTACACTATGTAGAAATGCACGTGTGCACAAAGAGCAATGTATTCACCTTTTTATAAATATCAGTTTATAATTATTTTGGTTTGTGTGTCGTATCTATTTTCGCAGCGGTTATTTATGTGCTAAATATTTCGGCTGCCCTGATATTAATTAATAGCTGGATTGACGTTTGTTTACCTTGAGGCTGTACAGCAAACGCCTCGTGCAAGAGTTGAGCATGAGGTCAACGAGGTAACCTGCTCCTCAAGGTGACGCTCTGTCCTGCTACGCATCCGGTGTGACTCTGCAACTCTTGTCATTCATTCGATGCCAAGGAGGAAAAGCAGCCTTATCTTTGACACCTGTTTAAACAGACCATGGATGCATATAATTTGTAATCTCCATCATCCCCTCCTCGTGCATTTGTGTGAACAGCTTTGGTTGCAAGGATCAGTTGATTGACATTGTGCAAGCAAACACAATTAATGCTCTCAAAGACTTTTTAGTTTTCAGAGTCGCTGTTTTTTTCCGGTGCCGTTGTTCCTCTCGCGTGCTGCAAGTCGCCACGCTTACGGCTCTCGGACAAGGTAAAGAGCATTTTGTCACAGCGGCGCTGGAAATGTTGCAAGCACTTCACTTGTTAGAGTTCTAATATAAAGTAATTGATAAAGTTCTGTGCAGCGACCAAATGATGTAACGAATGGCGTTGACCCAGTATTTTAAAGACTCGAGGTAACAAAGACAAAGTCAGGCCTTGTCTGCACTTCGGCATTTATTATT